CAAACTTTCATTTTGATTTAGTGAACTGCCACCACTGAGAAATGTGCCCAACATGATTAGGGAGAGCTCATTTTCAATTACCCAAATACGAGAGTAATTTCAAGTTTGTTGATAAAATGCTATTAGCGGAGAATTGCCCCGATAAACAAAAATAAAGCTGTCAATGTTTTTGGTGCGCAGCCAGACATCCCACATGGCCTACATATCAACTATGCGTGAGAGTCCTGAAGCACTGGTGGAAAAAAGCTATTTAAAATGCACCCAGATCCAAAAAACAGAACCCAGAACTGCAGCGCATTTGCTATCAGGAAACTGTGCAGCCAGCTGCAAATGTGTACTTTAACTGATGCGATCCATTAGTTCCTTCAGATGTGGTCTTTACTTATTGTGTCAGAATCCATGGGGATTGCTTCCAGGTTCATTTGCATGGGTTTGCTGAGTTTTTCATCATGAACAGGAGGCTCCATGAGAGACTTGGAAACTGTTTTTTTCCTACAGGCTTTCTCCGGGTTGAGATGTTCCACATTTCAAAAAAGAGAGTCCGTGTTTACTCAAGGTAACCAAGGATGGATCCCACATGTGCTTATTCTGCAAAAATTAGCTTAGTGAGCTATAAACTGGAGACAATATGTCTTCTCTGTTTTTCTACATTACCAAGCACCTGCATTTATCATGAAACAGCAGGAATGTTGGCAGAGGCTTCTAATAAAGTAAAAAAAAAAAAAGACTGTAAGAAACGTCCCAGTCAGATTTGCCAGGGTTTATGAACCCTTGTCTCACTTGATTATTTGTTGTTTGGCAGGCAGTCCCACAAACACAACATCAAAGTCTTAACACAAAACAAGTGACATAATCATCCAATACATGCCATACTCACCTGTTCAACTGCTGGTTAATGTAAATATCTAACCAGCCAAACACATGTGAGCAACACAGTGAATTCAGTCATATAGACATGGTCAAGATCACTTGCTAAAGTTTAAACTGAGCATCAGAATGGTGAAAAAAAGTAATGTAAGTGACTTGACCTTGCCTGCATCACAGCATCACTTCTTACTGTACTTGGGTATACTGAGGTGATAAAGGGATGGATGTGGTCAACAACAATGCTCATGAGATCTTCTGATGGCCGTTTCTAGCAAAATAACGCACCATGTCACAAAGGTCATATCATATCAGCTGGTTTACTGACAATGACAAAGACTTTGTGCTTATATGGCCCCCACAATCCACTAGAGCACCTATAGGATGTGGTGAAAGAGGACATTTTCATCATGGATGTGCAGCCGACAATCCTGCAGCAACTATGTGATGTTATCATTTCACTATGGACCAAGCACATTGTTGGATTTACAAAAACTAAACTCTCTATGTGTTTATAAAAAACTGTAGAGAAGCTTCTTGTATATTTTTTGTAAACACAGTTAAATATTGTACATGAGAAAAAATATTAATAACAACTTGAAAGATTTACTGTATTTTATTATCACAAGTCTCTGCACTCAAAGGAAAAATGCAGTCTCATATTACAAAAATTAGTACAGTTGCCTTTTAGTAATATTTTCTCATTATATTTCCTTAGAGGCGTCAGCATGTACAGTATTAAACTGTGCATAATTTGCTATATTTTTATATCATTCTGCTGCTGAAAGTAGGCATGGA